CTGTACCTTGCAACGTAATTCCTAATTCATATCATGCAAAATAATTCCTTCTACACCGTGTTGTGTTTCGTAAAAACAATACAGGTCTTTTCTTCCCATTGTTTGTAATAACTTAATTTTTACCAGAGCTAATTATCAGTCAACTATCCCGAGCCAGGTTGAGGGTCCGCCTCCTCAGAGCTACTGTAACTGACGTGCTACCCCGTCCTGGGCGGCTACGTAAGAAAGGTGATCATAGGGGGAGTACTATTACTGATTTTTGTCTCTACAGTGTGCTGATACACTGTACTGGGTGTGTGTTAGTGTACTGTAGTTAATTTCAAATATCTGGGTGCTCATCTCAACGAATGCTCATCTCAAACGACACATTGATGAGAAAGTGTCTCGGAGAATCAGAAAGGTGGGAGAGTATTCTTTTCGCTACTGAGGAGTTTTCTGGACAAAAGAGAGGTAACCATGAAAACAAAATGGCCATCTATAAATCGAAGTTTCTCCCTATCCTTTCGTACTCTTCCGAATCATCAAAACTCACCTCGAAGGATAAAAATCGAATCCAATCAACCAGAAATGGCCAGGTAGTAGGAGTTGGTTTATAAATAAATCAAGGATTGCCCCCTTGTTATACCTAAATACTAATAAGAAATTACTTAATATATATTCATAATCCATTTAGAAGCAAAAAAAAAACGGGCTATGTAATTAGTGGAGAAATCATTGGATGGGATATATCCAATGAAAGGGATCTACCATATATCAGACTCAGATTTAAGATTATTGTACCTACTGTTGATATATAATAGTTCCCCGACAATTCGTCCAAAGGCTCTTTTACGAAATCAAGATTTTTCTCAACAAAGAAGCTCCTGATCGAATCATTCATTCTCCTTATTCTATGGTATTTACCAAAGCCTAGGTAGGTATTTTGTTTCCCATTCACATTGAGACCGTCAAATGATCCCAAATGCCTTTCTAAGAATGCTTCTTTCTGCATTTGAAAGACTATTTATAAAATCTATTCTAAAAATTCGGAGTTTTTTTCTAGCCACCGATTTGACTTTCGTTGCAATAGCATAGGCACTGTTGCACAGTTTAAACGAAACTTATCTTATTTGTAAAACCTGTAAGAAGGAATACTATCTAGCAGAGTTAAAGATTTTACAGATACGACTCAATTACAGACAAAAACACATTTTAACAGATACGACCAATATGCTGAATGATTGACAATGGAATAATGAATACGCACTCAAATGCAGAACTTTTTCAATATTACTAATCTTTCCGGAAATTCCATCATTCATTCAATAGGAAATTGCGAAAACCAAACGACAAAACAAATTAAACGATATAAACATAGTCCTATGTTACGTATATTGTTTAACAGTAACTAACCATAGAAACACTGAATAAAATTGTAATAAAGAGTACATTATTCACAATTAATGAGTCTATCTATTAATTATTTTATTTTTAAATATCTTAACTATCTAGTAATGTTTTGTATTTTATTTATATTTATAATCTATAGCATTTCCAAGTCAATTTCAACTTTTTCCAAACCAAATTCAACCTTTTCCAAGTCAAGTTAAACCTTTTCCATTTCAAATTCCACTTTAAAATTTTCGTAAATTTCAATTTTTTTCAAAATATAGACCACTTGCTATATTATCGAAGGCATAGATTTAAAAAAATACAAAAAATGTGATAATGCGGTTGCACATCCATTTATTTTTACTTCTTAAATTTTTTCGGTGTAATATTTCCATGTCTTATTCAATTTTTTCCAAGTCAAATGAAACTTTACAAGTCAAATGCAAACTATTCCAAGTCAAATTCAACCTTTTCCAAGTCAAATTAGATCTTTTCCATTGCAAACTAAAGTTTCGAATATTGGTAATTTTTTTTTTCGAAATAAGGGCCATTTCCAATATGAGGGTCTTATACTCTCCTAAGTAGAGTTTTTCAAAATACTATTGATTTTATGTTAAAATTTTCGATATCGATCATTGAACCTATTCGGATTTATTCGATATAAGGGCCAAGTATTATTGTATTGAAAATAATATCAATTTTAAGATTACGCCACTACGTTTTGACTTATTTAAGTTTTTCTGATTTCCTGATTTATTTCATATAAGGGTGTATTCTTATGTATCCGGAGCCGTAGATTTTGAAAATACCTCCATTTTAAGATTACGCCAATGCGTTTTGACTTATTTAAGTTTTTTAATTTTTCCGTCGAATTAAACAAAAAAATTTAAAAATACGAAGGATTAATTTATTTTTCAGTGTTATCCTCATTTTGAAATTTAAACTTAGTTTTTACTTTGATATTGCGTCATCTTCTTACAAAATTATAAGATACTAATCCCGAACAATTAGCTGAAAATCTGTAAATGGTAGGTTAAATTTATTACCAGTTGCTGTTTCAGCTATTTACTTTGTGCTTTATGGTTAATTTAACCTAAGCTTCATAATATTCTTTTATTCATACCCGAAAACATATTGATGAAACTTTGTATTGAAAAAAAAAAGAGCTTAATTAATCGAGATACAGCGACGTTATCTTGAAATGGGGACTGTTTTCAAACATTACGTCTCCGATAACATATAAGTAGATCTTCTGTTCATTATTCCTAAATTTGGTGTCTTGAGGTTTTATTTTTTACATAAATTAGGCCAATTATCAAAAACATTTTATTGATAAGCTATTAATTACGACATTTCGACCATACTAAGGGCAATTTTCAAGCCTTGAATCCTTCGTTATAAATTCATAATTAATGTAGCAATAATTTGTTCAGTGAACATTAAATTATCCTGCTATTTAGGGGTTTCGCCTACGTTATTTCTACGTAATTCCCCTAAATAGCAGGACAATTTAATGTTCACTGAACAAATTATGGCTACATTAATAATGAATATATAACGGAGGACTCATCAAGACTTGAAAATGGCCCTTAGTATGGTCGAAACGTCGTAATTAATAGCTTATCAATAAAATGTTGGTGATAATTGGCCTAATTTATGTAAAAAATAAAAATAAGGAGATCCTTACACCGAATAAGTCCAAAAAACTTAAATGAATCAAAACACAGAGGCATAATCTTAAAATGGAGTTAATTTGAAAATCTACGGGTCCGGAAATATAATAATACACCCTTTTATCGAATAAATCCGAAAAACTTAAATAAGTCAAAACGCAGATGCATAATCTTAAAATGGAAATCATTTTCAAATGCTATGGCTACGGTAACATAAGGATAACACTGGGTTTCAGTGGCGTAATCTAAAAATTGTAATTTTCAGAAATTACGCATACGATAACTGACCTAGCCATAGAAAAATTAAAAATAATTAAATAAATAAAAAAAGTTTGAATTTGAAGTGGAAAAGATTGCATTTGACTTGGAAAAGGTTTAAATTGACTTGGAAATGTATTGGAAATATATTACTACGCAGTATTTATATTTATCATATTTAACAAATACATATTTAACAACGAATTGCCGTATATATGTATGTATATACACAAAATTATTAATCAGTAGTCAGAAAAGTTTAAAATATGATGAATTTACTATTAATTATGGATTCAATAAAATGAAGTTGTTAATATTGTTATAGTGGTGTTCTTTGAAATCTCTGCACTAAATATACAATTGTATACATATAAATATATCTGATATATATATATATATATATATATATATATATATATATATATATATATATAAAATAAATAAAACGTAATAATAACAATGAAAAAAATAAAAATGGATAGTATAGAATATATATTTAAAGATTATATTAATAACATGATTATTATAATAACAGTTTTCATCTCCTAACGTAAAGCCTAAAACTGTATCAGTCTTATCTAGATGGTCTATATTCCATAATTAATCACATAGAAAAACGATGAAATAATCATAACTAGGGAACATCTTAATTTTTTTATTTAATGTATTCTAATGAAAGGTCTTTATGTGAATGATACATACTATTTATAGATTTTAATGATTGTTCTATAAATATAATTTCTAAAATTTCAAAAAAATTTATACAGTCCTTCCATGGACGCTTATCTATTTCTACAAATAACATAAAAAAATGATTGAAAACATAAAATATCGGTTTTTTAATTAATTGATTTTGTGTACAAAGTCGCTCAGAATCCAAAATAATATTAAGTTTTAAAACTATTGTGTGAAATGAAGAAATCATGACATATTTGGCTACAGGAGAATGATTTAAAAATATTCATGGAGAAAATTCCAAGAAACCATAGAGGGCAAAATTGAAAAAGTTTTTATTTTATTTTGAGGTTAATGACCTCTGATGCAGTAAAAGCAGTCATTTCATATCGCTATGGAAAAAAAAAATTATGATAGCTATCGGGTATAAACATTAATTAAATTCTCTAATGAAAGAAATATTTTGCAATTTTCTGTTCTTGTGCTGATTTATTTAGTGTTTTTGTAGCAAGATTTTAAAAGCTATGTAATCCTTTAAAAACAAAAAAAAATAAAACGACTCTGCGCATTTACTTCTTCGTAAATTAACAAAATGTCTTGATTATGTGATATTTTTATTAAAATTGTTATTAGAATAAAAGCAAAAAGTTGGAGGACGTAAAGTTGATAACGAAATTGTTTCACAGGATCCACGGTATTTTTTGAAAAAGTTTAAAATCTGATCCAACGACTATTTTAGATTATGTAAACAAAACCGAAATTACAGAGTTGTTTTGAAAATATTTTAAGTTTGCTGTTCTTTGTTGTATATTCGTACTTTCAATAATTAAAAATCGTTGGAGTTAGCATTACATATAAAATTTGTTTATATGCTCCGATGTGTATTCTCAATTAAGTAGTCAGATCAGAACTTGTAGTGGATCAAGTCAGAACTTGGAGCCCTCTGTTAATCTAAAATAAACTGTCAATGATTCTGCTATTCAGAAAATATATATATACTTATATACAAGAGTTAATACATACGGCGATATATAGGATGACATAGGACGGGTGAAGAGTTGCCCCCAACATCCTTCCCCACCGGCAAGATGAGGAATGGCTGAGCTGATGAGAGGCTGGTGGGGGATCCGCTTCTTCAGTAAGGCTTGCCGATTTTAGAACTCAGAAACTCTTTTTTATTCCAAATGCCTAGAGACTTATATAATACTATTTTTCATATACACACACACATATATATATATTGTTTCGAAATAATTTTGACCGTGAATTTTATTTCAAAATAAATATACCATAAATTTATCTAAACATTTACCAAATTACTGATTTCTGTTTTTGGATACCATACACTACAGTTTATTTCAGAATTAAGTTAATTAATTAATTGTGTACATATCTACAGGGAGGTTAAGCGACCTGGACCGTCGCTATAAGTGATTCCACCATCCAAAAGGACGCCTCGATCAAATAAAGCATGAATAACCCCCTAAAACAATGTTTTGTACTTTTTTTATCACCGTAGAATGATTAAGGGTCCCCCACTGAGGACTCCGAGGATCATTATTTAGTATTCGTTTATTTCCTCAATTTTTTTAAGTCCCTCTGACGAGTCCCTAATATAAATATTTTGTACTTTTTTACCACCGCAGAATACTTTGGGGACCCAATCTGAGAGCCTTGAAGGTCATTATTTTTAACTAGAACCATGTTATATTTGACCACATATAACATTGACTTGGCACTAATTACTGAAACTCGACTAACCACTAAACAGCACTTCAAAATACCACAATACCTGACATATCGTACTGACCACACTGACGGAAGAGCACATGATGGTACTGCTGTCATTGTACACCAATCCCTCTCCCATCATCTATTCCTATTACCTATACATGATTTCCTACAGTCCACTGCTATCGCCATAAAAACCTTCTCCTTTCCGGTCATCCTTGTATCAACGTATTGCCCTCCTAACCGATTTATATCCAATGCCAAATTTAGTTCTCTCCTCTCCTCCTTAGGACATCACTTCATCTTGGGTGCATAATTAAATGCCATGCACCAACAATGGGGTACCGGAACCATGAATTCTCGTGGCCGAACCTTGCTGTCTGCACTCAATTCCCAACGTTTTCAGCTCCTTTCCCACAACTCTTCTACGAACTGGACCACAGATCCTAACCGTAATCCTGATATACTTGATTTCTTTATCCACAGCGGCTTAGGTTCCCTTAATTGTTCCGTTAAACATCTAAATGAACTTTCCTCTGACCATAGTCCTCTAATTCTTAATGTTTTACTTAAGCCCGTTCCAAAACCTTCTCCACCATCATTTATCAGGGGCCCAGTTAACTGAGACCTTTTCCGCCAAATACTCTCCGATAAAATTGATCTTAATATATTCCTAAAAACTCGAAATGACCTTGACAGTGCCGTCAATTCCTTTACTACCATACTACCACAATCCAACAATCTGCCTGATCTGTCTCCTTTCCAAAATATTCCCAAAGAATTTCTAAAAAGACCATTCTACCATAACACCTTCTTGACCTAATCCACATCAAACGCCGTGCCAGATTATTGTGGCAACGTACCCGACATCCTACCGACCGCTGCATCTATAATTATTACTGAAAAAAATTAAAACTGGAATTAGCCACCTTCAGATCACAATCCTTTAACTCCTACCCACCCCCCTCTCTTTTCGTGACAATTCCCTTTGGAAAACCACAACAAAAATCCTAAACCCTCACCAAATTTTCCATCCCCTCTGACGAGATGGCGGCTCCTGGGTAGCATCTGACGAAGATAAAGCTGAGAAGTTCGCCATTCACCTATCCAATACATTTATTTAACATCCGGAGTCCAATCCTGCCCACACCGTAACAGTAGAAGAACTTACGTCTTTACATCACCAATCCCACTTTCCTTGCCCCCTAAAGCTATTCATCCTTCTGAAGTGAAATTTCAATTACAAAAACTAATTCCCCGTAAAGCCCCAGGATATGATCTTCTTACCCCTCAGATACTTCGACAACTTCCATCCAAAGCAGTCATATTCCTTACATATATCTACAATTGCATCCTACGCACCACCCACTTTCCTCCGTTATGGAAACACTCCACTGTTATCATTTTCCCAAAACCAGGCAAACCTACCAATAACTCAATATCCTATAGACCAATTAGCCTACTCCCAATCCTTTCAAAAATTTCTGAAAAGATCCTTTTGAAACAAATCCCACCCATTATAGAATCCCAAAATATTCCTTCCCATCAGATTGGTTTTCGCTTACAACATTCTACTGTTACTGTAAGAACGAGTTGATCATATTTCCTCGGCCCTAGAAAACAAGGAATACTTGGGTGCATTTCTGGACATTTCACAGGCATTTGACCAGGTATGGCACGCCGGATTGCTCTTCAAGCATAAAATCCAATTACCTCAGTCCTTATACCTAGTCCTCCGATCCAACCTCTGTGACCGCTCCTTTCGAGTTCGCTGTGGAACTGAATTTTCCGATATCTATTCCTAAAGCCGGTGTTCCTCAAGGCAGCGTCTTGGGTCCCGTGCTTTACATCCTCTTTCCTGCTGACATCTCTGTTCATCCCGTTACCTTCCTTGCAACAGTCGCCGACTTAGGACTGATCCCGAAATAGTATCCTTTCTCAGACACAATCTGGAATCTTGGCTTTCATTTAGACCGAAGACTAACATGGAATCCACATACTAGACTCAAAAGACAAGAACTCAACCGACGATACGGCCAATTTTACAGACTAGTAAACAGAAAATCTAAACTTTCCATTGCAAACAAATTACTTATCTACAAGACAATCCTGAAACCTATATGGACATACGGACTGTGGAGGACAGCAACATTTTCTAACATCAAACGCATCCAATCCTTTCAAACTGAAGTCCTTCGAGTAATAGTTGATGCTCTATTCTATGTAACTAACAAAACCCTACACCATGACCTTAATATTTGTCCCAAACCTTATTCCAGAAAATTTCTCCAAATTTCACCAGAACCTTACCTATCATTTAAATCCCCTTGCACAATCACTATCCAGCACCACCCATCCTTACAATCTTCCTCGAAGGTTGAAGCGGCAGTTGCCCAGAGACCTTCTGTGAATAAGCATATATTGGAGTTTAAGCAATGGCCAGATCATACTCAACACAAGTACATACTCAAGCCAAGTATGTGTGATTATAGCGCCTCTCCTCAGTTTCTACTGGTCCTTAATACCAGTAATGCGGGTGAGTGCGAGGCGCTGGGATCTCCTAGAGTCCGGCTTTTCCTTATATTTCCTTAAATAATTAAGGCCTGAACGGCGGGCCGAAATGTTGGCAAATATAAAAATAAATATAATTATTTATTTTTACTATTTTTATTTTGACTGATCATCCTTCTTTTCAATTATAAATGAGAAATGTTTCTAAAACTAATATTTACGTTTTTATGAAAATAATTGAAGCAATTAGTAGATTTATTTATTTTAAACTTAAATTCTAGTAAAAAAACATTATGTTTGTCACTGATAAATACATATCATGTCGTGATAAGGGAGCCTCAATGTTGTACGTTAGGCTCCAAAAGTAATTGTTTATTATTCCTTTATTTCCTCAAATTTTTTAGGTCCCTCGGATGGGTCCATAAAATAAATAATTTTTACTTTTTTATCACCCAGTATGATTGAGAGGCCACCTCTGAGAGTTCTGAAGATCATTATTTTGAATTTACCAAGTAGAATGGTGTGTTTGACTCCATATATATATATATATATATATATATATATATATATATATATATATATATTGTCGTGATAAGGGGACCCCAAACGGAACCAGATTGGGCTTGTACAAGAGTAGTATTAATATTAATTAATTAAAATAACATTAAGACCAGCTGGATACTAGAAATTTAAGGACCATTGACGGAATGTAAAAGTATAAAACGGACGCCTGGTACAATCATGCCTCGGATGCAGCCGTAGTATGCGATATCTTTGTTTACATATTGCTGCAGGTATCGGTCAAACGACTGCTTTTCAAACGAATATTATATTATTTTCTAGTTTATTATCAGTAATATACAGGGAGTTTCAGGGTTAAGTTGCCAAACTGCTAAAATGAACCAAAGAACTCAAAACAAGAAAAAAATTTCCTCTGAAGGTATGTCCGCAAACGCTTTGTTTAGGAGATATTCACACCTAAAGATTTTCATTGTTATGAATTATTTACATTATATGAAATAAATAAAACCTATTATTCTAACTACTTTATTAATTAAATGTAAACATTAACATTCATATTAATATTCAAAGTGAAGGTATGTTCCCAAATATATACGCTTTGTTTAGGAGTCAGAAAAATAATCATCTCTGGTCGCAGAAAAATCCCCATGCAATTAATGGGTATCATTTTCAGCACTAGTTTCAGTGCAATGTGTGGTTGGGGACGATAGACAATATTTTAATAAGTCCGCATTTCTTGCAGCCTCGACACAAGGCGGGCACATTTCTGGTATTTCTTAATAATGATGATAATGATTACTATGATTTAGTTGAACATATTAGACTACAACTGAGAAGGGACTATTGTACTACTAATGTGGCTTCAATTAGATGGTTGCCCTGCACATTAAGGAAGAGGTCCACGACAATGGCTAAATGTTAATTATCCCAATCAGATTGGTTATTGGGCTTGTGACAATAACCTCCAATACAATAATATCCATTGCCGTTCTGCCACTGCTGCTGTTGAAGAAAGATGCCGAGCTTGTCTTAATGCTCAAGGAAATCACTTTGAACAACATTTAATTAATAAAGTAATTCATATTTTCAGTTTGGCCACTTCACCCTAAAACGCTCTATATAATTTTTCATAGTCAATAAAATACAAAATTATTTTTATAATAATTAATAAACAAAGTAGCATAAGAATTATTTTTTAGAAGTTAAAAATATATTTGAGATTCTAAGAACATTATAAGATTAAAATGTTGATATGAATAACTATGTTGTGATATTAGGAAAATATATAAATGAATGGTAATGCCTGGTTAGGTAACAGTG